TGCTAGATTAGACTTGATCACTCTCATCTAGACCTTAAGCTATTTTATGCCCGGAAGGTGTTTGTTAAAATGCTTGAATGAACTTAGTATTGCTCTAAACTTACTTAACCAAAGAGATTTGATGTTAAGAAAGCTTAGATGGTTAGTAGACTAAATCATAATGTTTGTTTAGATAACATTCAACCTAAGAGATTAGATGATTGAGTTATCTTTGCAAAAGGGCATCCATCTTGAGAAAGAGTTTGTCTATTGAAGTGTCTAGACCTATAGAGACTTGTGATTGCTTGAAGCTTGCACCTTCACTTGGAAACTAATTGCTTAGATCAATTACCTAAATCCCATGGATTCTACCTTATCATTTGATTAAAAGTAGTTCTTGTGATTGTTTCTAGATTGGATTTGAGATCACCTTGTTTATATTTCTAGGAACCTTAGCTTGTTACAAATTGAACTCTCTATTTGCTTAGATTAGGAAAGTTTGTGTACTTTTAGTGCTTAGATCACTAGTTCCCTGTGGTTCGACAATCTAAAATACTATCGATTTGCTTTAAGGCATAAAAACCCTTATCATATAGCTTCAAAATAGCCAACAAATCCTAGTCACACAAAGTCATTAGACCATCAGATTTGGTTCGTGTTACTTAGAGAGAGAGAGAGAGAGTCAGAGATGTTTCCAAGAAAATCATACCAGGAACCAAAAAAGAACCCGTCTCACTTGATACAACGAAACACAGCTTCTTGTAACATTTGTTGTTGGGTTTTCTTGACCAGTTTGGATGCGTAAATGCGAAGAACTATATTAACACCAATAACACAGTTTCAGCAATAACGCCTATAGTTTTAGTTATCTCAAGAAGAAGAAAAAGAAGAGAGGCTGTTCACACGTTGAGGAGGAGCAAGGCTGACTATCCTGTGCAGGTTAACAAAATAAGCAATTTCGTAGTAGGAAAGATACTTTGACACTTCACCTACAAGATTAAACGTATGCTTATAGTAAGCATATAGTTGTGTAACTAAAAGCAGACATCAGAAGAAACCTACGCCATTGTAAAGTTTTGAAGCTGTAATTGATTGTATGAAAGTTGTATACCTGAAAATAGCAGACAAATAGATATAATGCTGTAATATGTGATGTATATCACTAGGACTAGAGTGATCCAACTGAACAATATACGTACGAATCCCGTCTGGCTTAAGAAACCTCTGGCTCTATCAAGGCACTCAGGAGAGAGCTAGCAACCCAAAAGATATATTTTTACTATACCAATATATCAGCTCTCTCATGAGCATCCAAGAAGCGCATGTCACAAGTCTTCTCATCTGCTTCTTTTTAGCAAATCCTATCAGAAGGATAGCATCACCATAACTAGGGTTGGGCAAATTTAACCGGAACCGAAAACCAAACCGTACCGAACCAAAATTATCCGATCCGAAACCGGACTAGAAAACATATTAACCCGAACGGTTCTTGTCTACAAATATTACGGGTACCCGGACCGAAATGGAACCGAATTGATAACCGAATGGGTACCCGAAATATAATACATATCTGAAAATATTATTTATATTTAGATGTTAAATAACTAAAGTATTTAAATTGTGTTATAAATCCAAAAATATTTAGTTACATTTGAACTAAATACTTAAATATTCACATTTCATTAGTTATAATTTTAAAATTAAACAATCTTTTATAAACTTTAATGTTTTTTTTAAATAAGTATTTCAAATATTTTTGGGTAATTTGGATACTTTTTATTAATTCGGATAGATTGGTTATTTTGGAAACTTTTGGGTAGATTAAATACAAAAGTAACCAGAACCAAACCGGATCCAAAAGTTTTTGGGTAGTTACCGATTCTTGACGTAATTATATGATCTGAACCGAAACTGAACCAATCCGAATCGATTTTTGGGCGGTTCTTGTTTGGTTACCTGAAGTCCAAAACCGAAAAACCCGAAACCCGAATTAACCGAACCGAAAACCGAATGTCCAGGCATAACCATAACAATGATATAAAACTGGTGCAGCTTCATAAATGAATCACAGTAGATTCTCTGACAACTCAAATGGAGGTGTATGACAGCATTGGGATTCTTTTCCACGGCATAGACGTTCAGCTTAAGACCAGCTGCTTTAGCTGCCTGGAAGAGGATGAGAAAAAAAATGTATTAATGAGTTTCAAGGTCTCCTTATGATCACCTTGGTACTGCATTAGCACCCACCTGCATGCAGTGATTCCGTGACAAGGAGTCCTTTTCCTGCTCCCACAACCATGAACACCTACAATCTAAAAATTTAGTGCACTCGGAATATTTTATTTTATCGATAGACCTAAAACAGTAACAGTTACTTACAGTAGTTAATTACTCAGATGCTTTTTCATTTAGCAATTTCCTTTTGGTACTAGCAAAACAAAGATTGCTAAAAGTTAGGACAGTGACGAAAACATTACACATTCAGCAGTCTTTGAACTCTTTCCCTTCAGTAAAAAGGGAGGAAATTTCACAAAAGAGACATGATAACACAAAACCCAGAAAAGGTAACATACTTGGATCTATTTAACAGAGTCTCTCTCGATTATCTCATCTCTGCCAGCATCTACATTATCCTTATAATTACATTTTAAAAAGAACCTTAAGATTATCTAAAATTATTTCAATGATTTTATTTATCGGGTAATTTACTTTCTTTTTGATTTGAGTAATTACAAAACTAAATATAGTAATAATTATGGTTCTAAGGTCTCATACTATTTCTTTTGGTCAGTTAAAGCTAAATTTTCGGGAAAAATCGCATAAAAAACCTTCAAAGTGCCAGTCACTTACACTTTAAATTCTGAGAGTATTGTACAAGCAATTTAAATATTTAAGTTGGTAAATTTTTCATATTAAACCTCCAATTTAGCTTACTTGTACATCAAGTCAAAAATGTAACCGGTACTGTTCAAAACGATGACGTGTCGATTTGTTTTTTGTTTAAATATTATTTTTCTAATAAATATAAAAATTACAGAAAATATTTTACTAATAAATAATCATAAAAATTACAAAAAATCACAAATGTAATTAAATTATTGTATTAATAAAATAAATATAAAAAATAGAAATCTTAAAAATAAAAAATTAAATTTAAATAAATATAATAATATATAAAATAAATACAAATTCAAGAATAAATATTTTTTATAAAAAATGAGAAAACACTGTATTTTATTAGAAAATTAATTATCTTCAAAGCAAAGCAAAAAAAATTAAAGTCCAAGTATTTTAGCACATAGACTTTCACCTGCAATGGTATATTTTAAAAGATTATGTTGCTATTTATTTTTCATGTCACTATTATATATCATATATATGTCATCGTATAATTAATCGTATTTGATATGTACCATCAAATGATTCTCATGAACCAAATCAAACAAACAAGTTAATGTCCAAGTCTTTTAGCAGTTATTAATATACCCTATATTAATCTAGTTATAGTATCTAGAAAACCCTAACCAATAAACACTAAAATACAGTGTTTTCTCATTTTGTTTATAAAAAAATATTTTTTTCTTGAATTTATATTTATTTTATATAATATTATTATATATCTATTATTTATTTTATTTATTTTAAAAATTTTGGTTTTATTTAAATTTTTGTGAATTTTTTTTATTTTGGGACTTTTTATAATTTCTTTTAAGTTTTATTTTAAATTTTTTTTTGTATTTTATATTTATTTTATTAATAAAATAATTTAGCTACATTTGTGATTTTTGTACTTTTTTATGATTTTTACGATTTTTTTGAATTTTTAATGAATTTTTATATTTTCTGTAATTTATATTTATTTATTAGTAAAATAATTAAAAAACAAAATAAAACAATCGACACATCATCGTTTTTGAACAATACCGGTTATATTTTTGACTTGATGTACAAGTAAACCAGATTAGAGGTTTAATATGTTAAATTTATCAACTTGAATGTTTAAAATGATTATAAAATAGAGTGATTTAGTGAACTACCCATATTTGAAGCTCAAATTAGCAAAATACCATTGATTGGACATGAAGGACACTAACACAACCATTTGGCAAGGAAATGCTGAGAATGCCCTTTCTCTTTCCTCTCATTAACACGAAGCAAAAATTAACATTTGTTAACATATAACACTTCTGTTAACGTCTACAATATTTGTTAACAGCCAACACATTTATTACCGCGAAGCGTAAAAATAATTGTTAACAGTTAACACTTTTGTTAACGTCTACAATATTTGTTAACAACGAACACATTTATTAACGCGAAGCGTAAAAATAATTGTTAACAACTAACACTTCTATTAACGTCTACAATATTTGTTAACCGCTTACACGACGTCGAATATAAAACCCAAAAAGTTGATATCATCAAAAAATTGAGGATTCAAAGCCACTTATTAAAAAAATAATGAAATTTAAAATTTAATTGTATGTACTTCTCTAATAACATATTTAAAATTATTATTTAAGAATCAAAGTGAACTCAAAAATATTTAACATATTTATTTTGCATGTAATTCATTTTGAAAATGATAAGAGGAGAGAAGAGCATTGATAACGAAAATGAAAAAAAAAAATTGACACACCCACATGTAAATGCAGGAAGGAAGGAGAGAGAGAAAGAAGGACAATTTGGTCAGACAAAATAAATCAGTCCCATCATGGGCAAGTGACTAATATAGACCCCCATTTGGGGTGTATTGACCAATTATCTCTATAAAATACTCTAAGGGTTTAAAGTGTAAATGACTGTCACCTTAAAGATTTTTTATGCGATTTCCCCTAAATTTTCAGTTAAGTTACAAATAATTGATGTAACCAATTTTTTCGTTTTGTATTTACTTGTTATCATAATAAAGAGGAAATTGACCACTGTATATCTTCAAGTACTGACTATTACCTTTAGAAACAATAACATTGCTCATTTTTTTATAACTAGGTGTTTTGTTCGCACATACGGACATAATTTTCGTACAATTTATTATAGTCTAGTTTATTAATTCAAACCAAAATAATAAGTTATGATTTATCTTTTAAAATTAATTATAAATGACAACACTCACATATCAAAATATTTTTACAAATGTGTTGCTTTAATTTATTTTAATTATTTTTTTTATCTTAATTTTTTATTTCTATAATAAAAATATATTTTCAAGATAACAATATAATACATAAGAAGTATCTTATTTTCTAAAATAATTTTTAATAGATTTTTTTTTATTGTATAATAAATTTTATATGAAATTATTAAAAATATGACAAATAATCAAAATCTAAATCATGAAAAATTACAAATCAGATAATTTACTTAAATTTTGTAATAGAAAATATATGTTCAAGATAAAAATCTAATACATAAGAATTATCTTATTTTTTAAAATGTAGTATTATTAGTATACATTCGTTTTCTTATTTAATAAATTATATATAAAATTAGTAAAATATGATAAATAAGCAAAATATAAAACCATGGAAAAGTTGATAAATCAGCATTGCTCTTTATATTTAACTATTAATATTTTAACTTAATTTTAATATCTATGATAAAAATATGTTTTAAAGATAACAATATAATACATATGAATTATCTTATTTTCTAAAAGTATAATATTATTAATAAAAATTCATTTTATTCTATGATAAATTATTCATGAAATTATTAAAAATATATCAAATAAGCATATATACAAAAATCATGGAGAAGTTACAAATCAGTCAGTAAATTCTCTTGAATTTTATAATAAAAAATATATTTTCAAGATAACAATATAATAGGTAAGAATTAACTTATCTTCTAAAAATATAATATTATTAAAATAAATTCGTTTTTATTATATAAAAATTTATATATAAATTATTAAATAAGGTAAATAAACAAATTTACCTAAAATAAAGGAGAAGTTGATAACGAAGCAAATTTACTTCTTATATAATAGTATAGGTTATATGTCGATTACGCATAATAGATATGAAAAAAAATGTTCTCTCGTTTATTTTTCTATATTAGCGTTAACAATAAATTATTAAAATGTTTTAAGGGTACATCTTCTTTTTTCAAAAATTTCATAAATTATTAAAATGATTTACGTTAATATGTAAATCTTTTTCGAAAATATTTTTTTTTACTTAGGACATCCAAAAAAATGTTGGACCAGCAGTGGATAATGCATTGCATGTGTTCATATTTGTGCGTTGTTTCTTTAAAATAATGATGTTAATTTTAGTTTGTTAATTTAGTTTTATAGGTTATTTTTATAAAAATAACATTTTACATTGTACTTGAGTAATGTGCTTTCTATCATGTACAAATCTATATTTATATTACTTTATATTTTTTCTTGTACAAATCTATCATGTATTAACAGAAAGACTGTAACTATTTTGACATAATAGATATGTAGACTTTGGAAATCGAGTTTCTGGGGAATTATCTCATGGAATTGACGTTTCTTGAAATTCCTTCCTTCGGTTATCGCTGTTTAGGATATACCTCAGAGACTGTAAGTAAGCAATGGATTTGTATGTAGACAAAGAAATAAAACTAGCAAACATAATAGACATGAGAATTTGCTCAGTATTATTTGTTATGAGAAAGTTCAACATAGATGCCTCCCTTTATGCATTTTCACATAAAGGCTTGCGCATGAATTTTTTTTTTTTTTTTACTACTTTAGATCATATGATGAGTGGATCAATCAGACACAGCTAAACAATGGCTTAAAGTAATGGGATACGCGAATGAGGCCACAATACCAGACCTCACGATCTTCCCACGAATCTCTTCTCCTACCCTATCCAATGCAATCATTCTACACCTAATGTCCTTCTTCACCACACCATCAGTATTAATAGACCGTGTCCAGAAAACCGCTAACTTCCCCTCGAACTCCCCCATTTTTTCAGCAATAAGGGAATACAATGTTACCTTTCCATTAGAATCAACCAATCTTCTCCAAACCTTGAGCTTTGTATCAAACCACATCAACCCACTCCGCTTAAAACAAGCATATATCACATTCTCGACCACACACATGCAGTTCATTTGATCAGTTAGCCTCTCCGTCACCTCGATGCTTATACCTTCTCTCGGACTATACGCACTGATTCTCTCAGGATACAACTCCACCATGTAAATCTTATCCTCCAGGGACGCACTAAAACGCGACTCGTGTTTCACTTTGTCCTCACCTGCGAACTCCCACGTTTGTGACTTTGGATCAAACACTTCCACTTGGCACTTTTCAACGCTTCCACCAATCACGTATATCTTCCCGTCGACCACTCCCATTGCTTCTTTATGGGCCCACCTAGCCACTTTCATGCTTGGACCCATCCGTATGGCACCAGAACGAGTATCAAGGACCCAAAGGTTAGTGGAGGGAGAAAAACATCCCTGAGGGAAATAGATCTCTGATCCCACAGAGACGGCAGAAGAGGAGAACGTAGATAAATAAGGAGGGTTCAGGAGATCCGACAATGAACAAGATCTATGTTCCACTTCCACCTGATAGTCATAAGTAGTAGTGATCTTCTCACCCGGACGCAGAGTGATCCAGTGACACCTGTTGGGTTCTTGGTGGGAATGATAGAAGAGATAGACGGACTTCTTGGGGAGATGAGATCGCAGAAGGCAGAGCTCGGGGGAACGCACGAGTGACCTTAGGGTTTTGGAGACGCATGAGATGTTTAGGTCATCGCATCTAGGAACGCGGCTTAAGCAGTTCAAAACAACATCGTCGGGCAACGAAGAAAGACATGATGGTGGCTGATAATTATCTTTTTGTGGTGCCTTCTCGGAGTTCGAAGCGGCTGGAATTGACATGGTTTCTATCTATCAGCGATATGAGGAAAAAAAAGAACTAAGAAAGTAACCTAATAAGATCATCTTATATATTTGTCCAGTATATATACAATTATTTACTTAAAGTAAAATGATACTACGTTTCTATACCAAATTATATAACTTCTATTCTATTAAATAACAACTTCATTTCATTTGTGATTTTTTTAGGTGGACTCACCTTAGATATTTATAAATATATGAATATTCATGTTAGGGCAATATGAATATTGTTGCTCCAACATGAATATTGACTATTTCGTAATAATCCGTCAATATTCATGTTGGGTCAATATTCACCTTAATAATTTCGTAATTAATAGTAAAATATTATTACACATTAAAATATACATAGCTTTCATTTATAAAATTAAAAAAAAAAGTTCTAACATGATTTGTTTATTTTATATTCATATTTTCTCATAATATTATCATTATTATACTGAACTGTATAGGATAAATAATATTAAGTTGATATATTAATATATTTTATGTTGATAAATATTTGTCTTAAAATAATATAATATGTTAGTAAAATGTATTAACTAAACTAAACTATATAATGCATGTTTACAAATTAATATTATCTTAAAATTCTCTCTCTCTCTCTATATATATATATATATATATCTATATATATATATATATTATTTAAAATTAATAAACATAAAATTGCTAAAAGGTAATCTAAAGCTTTAAAGTGTGGATAAGAAGTTAGCATGCATTAAATACAACTATTTATTTTTAAGTACGTTGTTTCATGCATATATATATATATATTGATCTGGTTTATAAAAAAATGCTAAGCAATAAAATAAAAATATACTCTCTCTGTTTCTAAATAATTGTCATTCTACCAATTTATTTTGTTTCAGAATAAGTGTCATTTGCCATTTCCAATGCAACTTTTTCCATATAATCTCTTTCTTACCTTTTTAACTAACCTTTCAAAAATCACTTTTATTTAAATAATTGTACATAAAATAAGGGCATACTAGTATATTTGACCATTTTCTTAATTTGCGTAAAATATGTGTAAGTGACACTTATATTGAAACGGAGGGAGTAATAAGAAGCGAGAAATATATGTGGCGGTTTGAAATAATTGATTAATTATAACATATAAAATATCGTGTTTGATGAATTAGATGACGTATTTCAGGATTTATTTGAAGAAGATGATGATTTAATGGCAGAACAAAAAGAGCGAAAAAAACGAACTTATATCGAGAGACACCGGGAGGAAGGTCATCAGAACCTCTGGAATGATTATTTACCGAAACTCCAACATACCCGCACCATGTTTTCCGGCGACGATTTCGAATGAACAAGACATTATTCTTGCGTATTGTGCATCGTCTCTCTACAGAAGTTTCGTATTTTCAACCCGGAGTAGATGCAACCAGACGGAGTAGTATATCTTCGCTTCAAAAATGTACCGCAGCAATTCGTCAATTGGCGTATGGTGGTGCGCCAGACACAGTTGACGAATATGTCTGAATTGCTGAAACAACGGCTCGTAGAAGTTTGCACAATTTTGATGCCGGAATAATCCACTTGTTTGGAGATGAATACCTAAGACGTCCCACACCGGAGGATCTGCAAAGACTACTATATGTTGAAGAACAACGTGGATTTCCAGGGATGATTGGTAGCATCGACTGCATGCATTGGGAGTGGAAGAATTGCCCCACCACCTGGAAAGGAATGTATTCACGAGGCGCCGGAAAACCAACAATTGTCTTGGAAGTGGTAGCTTCCTATGACCTCTGGATATGGCACGCCTTCTTTGGAGCTCCAGGTACTATGAACGATCTTAATATTCTGGATCGGTCACCCGTTTTTGATGACGTTATTAACGGAAATTGCGCCGGAAGATAACGTCTATGTTAATGGTAATCCGTACAATTTGGCGTATTATCTGACGGATGGTATTTATCCGAAATTGGCTACTTTTATTCAATCTATCCGACTACCACAAAGTCAGAAGCATTCATTATTTGCTCAAACCCAAGAGGCTGTGCGAAAAGGTGTCAAGCGTGCCTTCGGAGTCCTACAAGCTAGGTTTGCCGTTATTAGAAATCCATCTAACATATGGGATAAAAAACAAATTGGAAATATTATGAGAGCTTGTGTCATACTCCATAGTATGATTGTCGAGGATGAACGATCATCAAGAACTCAGTACAACGTTGCTGAGTTTCAAGAAAGAGAAGACGCAGATACATATTCCGTCAACATGCCATCATCCCTTGGCAATACACTAGAGCGCCGAACGGGCCTTTGAAATCGACAAACACATCAAGCTTTAAAAAATGATTTGATTGAAAATATAAGGAATAAATTTGGACATTTACCAAATAACATATAGTTTATAAGTTCTATTTGTATTGGAATAAATGTTTGTGTGTGTCTTTTTTTTTAACTTTGTAATTTTCTTTAGATTTCAATTTTAATGTTAAATTTCTTTTTTATATGTTTTATTTTAACTTTTTAAAATATTTATTAATTAGTAAAAAATAATAATTAAATAATAAACTAAGGGACAAGCAAAGTCCCACCAATAATCAACATTTTGCTTGTCCCTTAGCTTAGGTCCCTTGAGATAAAACTTAATTAAAAATGACTAAGGGACCATGATGGAAGTCCCACCAATACCATTGCCCTTAGGATCCATCCAAGGTCGTGAGGGGGACGGGCCTAGTATGGATTGGACTTCCCTGGTACAGACGATATATGTGGTGACTATTGCCATGGTCTACACATTGTGAGTCCAGGCTCTACCCGCAAATGTTCCGCCCTTGTTCTCCGAGCAGCTCAAGCTTCCACCTGGTAATTTGCTTTCTTTTCTTTTTTCTTCTATAAATCTATCATATATTAGCAGAAAGACTGTCACAGTTTCTGGTGAATTGTCTTTGTCTCATGGAGTTGACGTTGATAAAAATCAATTCTTGAAGTTCCTTCCTTTCGGTTATCCTTACTTACGACGTAGCTCAGAGACTGTACGTAAGCGATAGATTTGTATGTAGACAAAGAAATAAAACTAGTAAACATAAATAGACATGAGAATTTGCTCAGTACTAATGGGATATGAGAAAGTTCAACATACATGCCTTCCTTTACGCATTTCAAATAAAGGCTTGTGCGCATGAAAAAAAAATAATTTAGTACGTTAGATTATATGATGAGTGGATCAATCAGACACTGCTACACATTGGCTTAAAAAAATGGTATGTGGGTATGTGGCCACAATACCAGAGCTCTCGATCATCCCACGAATCTCTTCTCCGACCCTATCCAGTGCAATCATATTACACCTAATCTCAGTCTTCAACACACCATCATTATTAATGTGTGTCCAGAAAACCGCTAACTTCCCCTCGTACTCTGCCATTTCTTCAACATTAAAGATGCAAAATGTCACCTTCCCATCAGAATCTATCAATCTTCTCCAAACCTTGAGCTTTGTGTCAAACCACATCAACCATCTCCACTTGACACAAGCATATATCACATTCTCGACCACACACACACAGTTTATTTTATCACTTAGCGACCCCGTCGCCTCGTTACTTATACCTTTTTCCGGACTATACGCACTGATTCCCCCATAATTAAACTGCACCATGTAAACCTTGTCCTCCAGCGAGGCACTAAATTGCGACTCACATCGCAGTTTCTCCTCACCTGCGAACTCCCAGGTTTGCGTTTTTGGATCAAACACTTCCACTTGAGTCTCCACATCAAGTCCTCCAATCACGTATATCTTCCCGTCGACCACTCCCATTGATTTTTTATGGACCCACCTAGCCACTTTCATGCTTGGACCCATCCGTATAGTACCAGATCGAGTATCAAGGATCCAAAGCTTCTTGGGGGGACAAGGGAAATAGATATCTGATCCCACCGAGACGGCAGAAGAACAGAACCTAGAAAACCGAGGAGGGGTCCCCGAAGATGAACAAGAGCTATGTTCCACCTGATAGTCATGAGTAGTAGTGGTCTTCTCACCCCGACGCAGAGTGATCCAGTGACACTTTTTGGGGTCTTGGCGGAGGAAAGAGTAGAAGAGATAGACGGACTTCTTGGGGAGAAGAGATCGCAGGCGGCAGAGCTCGGGGGAACGCACGAGTGACCTTAGGGTTTTGGAGACGCAAGAGATGTTTAGGTCATCGCATCTGGGAACTCGGCTTAAGCAGTTCAAAACAACATCGTCTGGCAACGAAGAAAGACTTGGCGGTGGCTCATAATTATCTTCTTGTGGTAGCTTCTCGAAGTTGGAGGCGGCTTGAGTTGACATGTTATCGTCCCGTTTCTATCTATCCTATCACCGAGCAGAAAGAAAAGAATGAAGGGACCATATAAAAGTAACCTAATAAGACATCTTAAAATATTGGGAAAATTCCATATAAATACCCCAACTAAATTTTATTAAGCTTTTTAATACCCAATCTTTTTCACTTCCCAATTTAATACCTCAACTAATAATTTTTCTCACTTTAATATACAAACCTTTATAATTGTGCCCATTTTAATACCCAAACTTTGTTTATTTTAATTAACAATACTAATAAGTTTCAAACAAATTTTTTAAAAATCTCCAAAATCTAAGAAAAAATATTTAAAAGTTCTAAGTTTACTCTAAGATTTAAGAAATAAGGTAAATAAACTCTGGAGAAAAATTAAATATTTAAAAAAAAAAATTTGAAGGAAAAAATAATAATTTACTTTTTTTATTTCAGGAAACAAACAAAATTCAATATATAAAACTTAAAAAACTTATTACAAAACTTAAGATTATAAAAAAATTATTTAATTTAATTTCCATAACGTATAATAAAATCAATTTATTTGTAAAGTTTAGAAATTTTAAAAATTTTATTGGAAATTTAATCGTATTGTTAATTAAAATAAACAAAATTTGGGTATTAAAATGGGCACATTTATAAAAGTTTGTGCATTAAAATGGGTAAAATAATTAGTTGGGGTATTAAACTGGGTAGCGAAAAAGTTTAGGTATTAAAAAACTTAATAAAATTTAGTTGGGGTATTTATATGGAATTTTCCCTAAAATATTTTGTCAAATTATTTTTTTAATCAAAAATATCTATTTATTTATTATTATATTATACTATTAGTTGATAAGTAAATTTGCTGATTTGTCAACTTCTCCAGGATTTAAGATAATTTTTCTTATTTTCATATTTTTAATATTTATATATAATTTTATACATAATTTATTTATAATTAAAACGAATTTATAGTAATATTCCATATTTTTAGAAAATAAAATAATTCTTTAGTATAATGTTCTTATCTTGAAAATATATTTTTTTACTGTAAAACTTAAATTTTAAATACAGATATAAAAATTATTATATTATTATATAATTAAAACAAATTTATAATAAGAGAACTCTTATGTATTACGTTTGTATCTTGAAAATATATTTTCTTATTATAAAAAATAAAATTAAGATATAAAAAATTAGATATTATTAATTAACTATAAATCATCAAGCATAATTATTTGAAAAACGAATTTGCTGATTTGTCAATTTCTACACAGTTTTAGGTAATTTTGATCATTTATCCTGATTTCTATAATTTTTTTTCATGTAGTTATTCAGAACTGATTTTGTTGATTTGTCATTTTTCCATGACTTTAGGTAATTTTTCTTAGTTGTCATATTTTTTATATTTATATATAATATTATACATAATTAATTTATGATTAAAACCAATTTATATTAATATCATATTTTTAGAAAATAAGATTTTTCTTGAGTATCATATTGTTATCTTGAAAATATATTTATCTACTATGAAACTTACATTTTAAATTAAGATATAATATTATTATATTTATTATATAATTAATTTATATTAATAATATTATATTTTGTCAAAATAACATAAATCTTATGTGTTATGTTTATCCCTTGAAAATATATTTACCTATTATAAAACTTAAAATTAAGATATAAAAAGGATATATTGTTAACTAAATATAAATTATCAAGCAAAATATTTTAAAAGTAAATTTGCTGATTTATCAACTTTTCCACGATTTTAGGTAATTTTTATCATTTATCATAATTTCTATAATTTTATTTATTTGTCATGTTTTTAACAATTTTATATATTAAGATAATATATCTATAAATATATCTATAAAATCATTCTATTGTAAATTTTTAAAATTAACATATAAAACTTATACTTAAATATAAATAAAGCCTAGTTATTAGAGTCATGGTCTCCATGGTCTTTGGCTGAATCATTAGTTTTAATAAATAATTTTACTTAGATTTTATTAAAGTTTTGATATCGATAATAAATAACTATATAATTCATTATTTAGTTGTTTACAAAATAATATTATAAAAATTATATAAATATAGTTCCGTTATTTATTTTGTGTTAAGCTACATTTTTTCTTGTTTGTTCATTTTTTTAATTATTAGAATATTACACATATAATAATTAGATTTATTTTTAAAATAAAATATTAAAAATATTATAATATAAAATAAAAAAATGATTTATATTTTTTGTAAAATTAATATGTCATGGCATATTTTAAAATAATTATTAAATTTAATTTACTATTAAATTACCAAAAAGAGTAATATATACAATAACAATAAATTTTATTTATATTTTTTTGTTAACGTGATTTTTGGTATTTTCACTTTTATTCTTATTTTTCAATTGCAAGAATAAGATTTATTTTTTTAATGTAAGTTGAACACTTTACAATTTTTTTTTTTTTAGTTTTATTGGGAATTAGATTATACTTTAATGTATTTAAATAATATCTTTTTCCATAAGAGAATACTTTCAAAATATTAATTCTTTACAAGTTTCTTATTTTTATAAAAAAATAATATTTTAACTCTATTTACTTTTATTTTTGCAAGTGTTTCACAGAATTATAAATTTGTTTAAATTAAAATTTCTGTAAAGACTATTATGTAATTTGATCTACTTTTTTTTATAAAAACTGTATTTTTAAAATGATTTGTTTTACTTATAATTATTAAAGTTTAAAATTGTAAAAACCATTTGAAAAAAATAAATTATGATTTTCTAATAAAGAAATAATATTTTATAGGAAAATAACTATCTCTATTTTAAAGTATAAATATAGTTTGACTAGCTTATTTTTCTATATTATAGCATTTAGAAATGAAAATAACAATAGAGAATAAATGTTCTTGTCTTGTATATTATATATTAATGTTTCGTTTGTCTACATAGTTGATCTATTTGAGTGTTTATTCAGTTATTATGGGAGGTATCATACATATATGAATAGTTTATTTATTGTGATTAATATAATAAGTAAAGTTGAGTTCAGTTTAACATTCTTATGTTTTTTATTTATTTTGAGATTTTGTAGGTTTTGCTAATTATAAGAATTTGGTTTAATAACATCACTTTATATTAACAATTGTATATTTGTTTATATAATTAGATACTTATATAAAATAATATAATAAAAAATTGGTTAAAAATAACAACGTATTTTAAAATATAAAAAAATATTAAAGTTTCAATCAATAAAATTTAAAACTTAAAAATATCCATTAATCAATATCTACAAAAGAACTATGTCTACATGTGCGGACAAAACATCTAGTTGTCCATTATATAATAAAATTGCTAGGGAGTAAGATGATTTTAAATTTCAGTTTATTTTATAAAAAAGTATATATGAAAAAGAAAATAACAATAAGTTATAAATTCTGTAATTTTTATTTACTTTTAAATAGTATACTTCTATAAAAAATTAATTTAAATTTCATAGGACAAATGTCAGTCAATCAAATAAATAAATATATGTTTATAAAAATTTGACATTTGTAAACCTTTTAGAAAGAAAAGAAAAGAAGGTACAGAATTACATCTAACTAAACTTAAAATCTATTATATTAAAACATAAATCATAACTCATTTCATGTGTGATTTTTTATTTTGGATTATCCTTAAAAAGTTTATTATTTTTTACACAAAATAATTATAGAATATCTTTAATTTTCTTTGAGATATAAAAAATATTTTTATGAAAATTCTAATAATATATTTGTAAGACGTTTTTGATTTTTGAAAATTAATTATTTGAAATTTGAGTTATCAAAAATATAATTTAAAAAATATTTATTTTTGATTTATAACAAAATATGTAAGCTAATTTTAAAATTATCCTAAAAATTGTTTCTCTATGATGTATGTCCAACTTGATTTAATTTTCATATATATTTCAAATTTAGAAATAAAAAAATATTACTGTTACATAATAATGTTTTAAAATTGTTAGAGAAAACAAATTTATAAATTTTATAGTAGTAATATTATAAGCCACATAAACATTATTATAAAGTTAAAAATATATACCATCAAATTATGTTAATATATTGATAACTTTTTATGTAGAACCTAAAGCATTTTATTATTCAAAAAATCTATTTAGATTGATGAAAAAAAAATAAAGAAAACCCGCACGATTGTGCGAGTCAAGATCTAGTAATATAGTTAAGGGAGAATTTGCGAGATAGCTATGTTTGGAGAAGAAATTAGGTATATGTCATTGATTTGACATAATTAGGCAATTAACAATTATGCATAAAGATGATGTAAACAAATTGAGGTATGGCTAATATTTAGTTCACATCTAAGAGAATATAAGGAACCACATTACATGTTATGACCACATATATATGTATTGAGTGTTCTATTCCACATGAAATAATACAGATTTCTAACTTCACCACATACTCTAATACTAAACATTACCCCAACTTTAACCCGTATATACTAATTACTAAACATTACCTCAATCCCACCCCAACACCTTATTCACTAAACCATAAATCCAAATATAAACCCAAATATAATGGAACAAAATAAATAGAATGGAACAAAATAAATCATAAACAAAATGGAACCCAACTAAAACACTCTTTAATAATCATCAAATGGAATGAAACATGATAAAAAGAACAGTAGCATAATATATCACATTTCATAATAGGAATAGAACAAACATAATACATATTATCTTACATTTCTATTCTATAAATGAATAGAATAGAACAAAATAAACAAATCTATTCATCTTCTACGATCAACTTAGATCATTCACAGCAACAAAATATAAGTGTATCTGACAACATCAATGGAAATTGATTTTATTTAAGCTACAGTAAATAGAAGAAAAGAACATACGGTGGTGATGTGATGATGGTGACTCTGTGCCGACTGAAGAACCGGAATAGTGGCGGAAGGTGATTACGACGAAGGAAATGTGAAAAATCGAGGAGAAAGAGACAGATTCGAAGGGTTTTCTATGGTGGTTGTCGGAGACCTTTCATTTTCCAGGAAGTTACTAAGATATGTGAAAAAGAAGTTGTGGAGGATGGTAAACCACGATTTACAGTTTTACATCAAATACAAATGAAGGATTTTTTCGTGTAGGTGAAACCGGTTGATCCTAAAGACAATATGATATTAATATAGAAAAGAAATGGTGTGAGTGGATCTATTAGGATTTTTGGCTAGTTGACTAATTAGCATTTTTTGTTTTGTTATAGGGTCCAATTTCCCTATAATTATTAAAGGATCAAGATTTTTGGATAATTATATACTGTATACATGAAAAAGAAAGATGACATGCAGCTATAAGCCTATAAGGACAAGCATAAAAGTTTGAATCATTGTAGGTACCAATGGAGAATGAGAAGTGTGAGTTCTTTTTCATTGTTGTTAAGCCAAACAAGCTTTATGTGGAGGTTGGTGAGGCTCGGATATAATTCTTCATTGCATCTGCAGAAGTTATTACAACTGCCATAATCAATGATTAGCTTGCATGTTTTAACATTCCCGGCGCAAGCTGAACAAAACAGAATCGTAGTGGACCTTGTGGTAACTAACAATTTGTAAAACCAGACTTGCATTGCACGTATTATAACAAATCTTAAAGTCTAGATCAATCCGAGATGAAAACGAATCATTATTTTCCTAATCAAACAAACAAACAAGTAATTTTAAACCCTACCAAATACAAATGATCTGCTCATTCTTTCATGCGTCAAACTTGATACTAAACTCCTCCGAATCACCACCCATGTGGCTATTTTCAACTCCATCCAAGTGATCTTTTCGCAAGCTGTCCGCAAGCACAAGAGCAACCAACCAGAAAAGGCACGAGTCCAATGACCGAGCGAACCGGTCTTGGCCGTAGGACAATCGGTTTCAAGATTACGGTGAACGTTACGCGTCAAATGGAGTTGCTCAGTGATGGTTGGCTACAGAAGCAAAGACAACGCAAGTCCAGATGTTATCCTGATTTTTTTTTAATTTTAATATCAGGTTTTGATTCATATAATTTCTGACTAAAGATAAAAAAAAAAATGATATATCTGGTACTTACAGAGCAATGTTGAAGAAAACAGAGAAACTTGTTCAACATCCCGAGTTGTGATATATGGAAAGGTTTAAGAAAATTGATTTGATTACTTATGTCACCAAAGTGCACTTACCTTTGCGGGAGTACATCCAAAAAGAACTCCAGAGTTAAACGTGCTTGAGCTGGAGTAGTATAAGGATGAGTGATCTATCGATTCGAAAAAAATGTGAGCGAGATAAGTTATTACAACAAACTCTCCAGATTGAGATTTTTTTCCCTTGTTGACACTTTTAGGCCAGCTAGATATTTTTCTTTGTTGATATTTTTCCTTTCTGGAAATTTGTTATTATAGAACACGTACAACTACGTCCCATACAACTTTTTCTTTAATTATTTTCTGTTTCTGTCTATTTTATACCTCTAAATAATTATAAAAAAAAAAATCAAATACCTTTTTTCATTTTAAAATTTTTTTTTTTTGGAAAATTTCATTTTAAAAAAGAGAAAATGACTTGAATAAACCTAAAAAAGTTTTTATCATAAATATAGACCTTGACAATTAAAATGACCAAAATAGCACTTAAATATTTTATTAAATATATATTTATACCCATTAGGTTAACTAATCCTAGACTTTTTTGTTTAGAGTTGATGAGTGGAGTTTTGAGGATAGAGTTTCGAATTTAAAAAAATTAAAAAAACTCAAAATTTTCAAAATAAAAAATGATATTTTGGTCATTTTAATTTTTGAGGTCTATTTTTGTGATAAAAACTTAAAAGAGGGCTATTTGAGAGAATTGCCCTTTTAAAAGTCTAAGCAAATAATACAAAACTAGACCTTGACCCGCGCGCCAGCGCGGATATGATTTTCCGGTTGTTGATTATTTATTTTATTAAATGATGTACTTGTAATACTTGATCATATTATATTCACTTAGCATATAATATTTTTGGCATGTTAAACCATCTATTGTATGATCAATCTTCGATATCATATAAAAAATTAAACATATATAGTTAATTAGAGAATTGTATACTATATATAAAGACAATGGAAATGACCGCAAATTATTTTAAAAATTATATTATGACTTAATATGCCTAAAAATTAAAAGTTAGTTTAACATGTTTAAAAAAATAAAAAGATTTTGTAAATTTGTATAAG